CCCTTGGTGACTATCCACTGCTAATCCAGGTGTGTCACATTAGGGACACTCACCTATTACTGTGCCCGCAATGTCTGCAGCACCATGGCACAATGAGCTTGGCAGACTCCTTTAACCTTTATAAATCTGGCTCTATCATGTAATAGTTGCTTGGCCCTCCTTGCCCTCCAGGCTAGTGGTCCCTAGTTCTCTTCTGGTTGATACACAGTACAAACATATTTTTTTTGGCCGATAGTTTAATGGAGGGAGGGGTATCGGTCTTGCATAAGGTCCCTTTGACAACTCTGTCCACCGCTGGTCCAGTGCATGTAGATTATGCATAAAATAAAACAGCATTTCTCAACCAGGGTCCTGCAAAACCCTAGTGTTCCTTCAGAGGTTGCTAGAGGTTCCTTGAGCTGTGACAACTAGATAACCCACCTGAATGTGCCTATCCTCTTATTTCTCAGGTAAATAGCCAATGACACCAATTATCTTTTGAGTGGTCTATAAGAGAAGCATTCTTTCCACAGACTACTAGTATGAGGGGGTTCGTCTCCAACTGACCACTATTATGAGAAGGACCTGCTCGCACTGACCATTAATCAAAATGGACACTTCTCCCACTGACCATAACATAAGGGTGTCTCTCTCCACTGACCAGCAGATAATCAGTGCACGGACCTCCAATTTTAAGGGGGGGCACTACTCCAATGAGCATACCATGTGCTATCTATACCTTACTGACCACACTACAGTACCATGAGCTGTAGTTTTAATAATTGTTAGCAGAGGTTCTCTGAGACCTGAAAATTATTTTCAAGGGTTCCTCCATGGTAAAAAAAAAGGTTAAAAAATTCTGAAATAGATTAAATTGTCAGGCCACATCATACAAAAGCTCATTGATGTTGGATAGTAGGGGATCACGGTCATGGCTGCTTCTGGAGGACCTCTACGAAAGCACAGGTACCCTTCAAGAAGTATGGGATATGTATAGCTGCTTCCTTCTCTGCCGATCCGTGCAGCAAGACATGCTGAAGCTGCAACATTACGCAGAAAGAAAACTAGCAGAGAGTTAGTGCTGACTTTGCAGAAAGGAGGAGATAAGTGTCTTCGCCCCCTTTCATCTGATGTACAGCGCAAACACAAGGAGCTGTCACATCAACGTGCTGGTGTCATCGCTGATAATAGGGAAGAAACCTGCCAACTCAAGTGACGGGGAAATTTTTGCTCTCCTCTTTTTTTTCTTCCTTTTCTTCCCCCTGACTGTTGAAGAGAATGGAGCATCCACTCGCGTGTTCTTTTTTTTGCCCCGGCACAGCAACTGTCATCGAATTCCCAAAGAGCCGTCAGATCCCAAAACTTTCTACGGATCCCAGTTTTTAGAAGGAGTGCGTGTCGGGGTAGAAGGGGGGTGGGGGTGTTTGAGGTGATTTAAGACAGCGTGACAACAACGGTGGAGAAAGGAGAACAATGCCAGCCTAATTAGCACTCAATTAATGCTGGGTAAACGAAGACATTGGGAGGTAAAATTATTTGCCTGCAGTGGTTTTATTGTTTTCCAAACTAGTGAAGGGAAAATAGAACACGTAGCACAACTTGCAGGGGAACTCCAGTTAAAAATGAACATCTTGAGTTACCATATGAGCTGCTTTCATGCACGCGAGCTTGAATCGTAAAACCACGGAAGGAGCGAAATGATAATGGCCTTTTGTATGAACTCGAGTGATTTCCACACAGCTGCCAAAGACCTATAAGCAGGGCCGGATTTCCCACAAGGCCAACCGAGGCCCGTCCTTGGGGCAGCAGAGAGTAGAGGGGCAGCAGCGGTGTGGAATTCCTATCTCCCGACACCCGGGACATGCAGTTCCGGGCGCCGGGTGGGTAGTTGTTTTCTACATTTAGCTTTGGGCAAGCAGGGCTAAATGTACAGCGGGGAAGCCGCCGCTTGTTTTGTGCAATTGATCTCGGCAATGTCACCGGGATCACTTGTATGCAGCCTGAATACAGGGGATGCATTGAGGAACCTGGCCTTGGTGCAGCAGAGAGAGTAAATCCGGGCACTGCCTATAAGATCAGATTCAGTTGTGATGCTGATTGGTAGATGAGCAGTAGCGATGAGCAAACTGGCCTGAGTTTGGATAGATCCACATACCCAACCTGAAATCTTCAAACCCCTAATTAGGCCCAAGCCTAATTGAAGTATATGGAAGTCAAATCTTGTAATTTTTTCTGCCCTTTTTTTAAGGCTGGTTTGCAAGTTTTTAGGAAACAAGGTTATGAGTAGCTGGGCACTAATATGGGTAACATGTACCAATGCAAAAACAAATTTTAACAAGTGCCGTTTAGTGGGGACCAGGTCTTTTATAAGGCTTAAAGGGCAGTGTTAAAAATTCACAATTCCTTTAAATAACATGCTTGGGAATGAATTAAACCTGCAAATGAAGTGGCGCACTTGTAGGATGTACTCCTGCAAAAGTGACCTTTAAAAGAAAAACTATTGCTGCTAAATGACATTTTCCGATCGGCTTTGTTCTATCTGTAAACGTTGGAGGATTCCCCTCAACATTCATACCAGACACTTACCCTTAATAAGGGTCTGGTATGAATTTTGCTGGTGACCTCATGCTGAAAACAAAGTTAAAAAGGGAACATGCAGCTCCCCCCCTCCTTCCCCTTGCCTGAATTATACCAGGCCACATGCCCTCAACATTGGGAGGTTACCTTGTATCCAAGCTGATGAGGACAAGGGCCTTATCTCCACATTCCTGGCTCGGTGTATGTGAGGGCTTGGGGGGGGGACAAATTATCAGAATCTGCAAGCCCACTTTTCACATAAGGAAAAAAAAAGCCCCCCCCCCCCCCCCCAAAAAAAATAGTAAAGAAACACACACCTTACAAAAGATCTTCATTAAAAAACATACATAAAGAAACAATGTTTCCGGATCCTCTCCTGCCGTGGTTCCATTGCAAATGTCAGCTCCCCGCTCGGCAACTGGATATCAACAAATCAGCTGAAAGACGCTGGCTTATGTCATTGACTAAATATGGTCATGACCATATTTGGTCAATGATGTCACCCAGGATGCCCGCCGACAGGCTACAGGAAGCTCATTTTTGCATGGCAAACAATTTCAAAATATTTGTGCAGTTACCACCCACCCATAGCAGTGTAGTGTAAATGAGTCCTAAGTGCTACAATAAACTGGAACCGGATTGATGGCTTCACCTTAGATTATTAAGCCAATTTGGTATTGATTTATCCCATTGGGGTAGAACAATGTCCAAGATACAATGATCCAACCACCTGGGAATCATCTTTCACCATCCTTATCCCAATAAACTGAAATATGATTGGATGGATCCCCACACTTTGCTAATCACCATCACTCTTGGCAGGGCTTTTTTTGGAACCTGTGCTATTGATGAAATGGATGGACTTAAAGGAAGGCGGCACTAAGAGAAATACAAGAATGGTTGCTGTTGATCTCCTTTTACACATTCTTGTTACCAGGCAATCATGCTAATCCAATGGCTATAAATGCTTTTTAGGTCACTGATCTAGAACCAGTATGCAGATCAGTAGTCTGACTTGTTGCATGTTTTTTCCAGGACATTGATTGGCATTTCCAGAGGCCAGCAATGGCAGTCCCATATTTCTCTCAGTACAGGCTTCCCTTTAAGAACATTGCTTCAGATTTGTACCATCTAAAGTTCTCTTCTTGTTGTTTGTCCTCTAGGTGGCAGCACCCCACCCGGTATCACCGCACCAGCTGTGCCTAGTATTCCCTCTCCAATCGGGGTGAACGGCTTCACCGGCATACCGCCCCAAGCTAATGGACAACCAGCTGCAGAAGCCGTGTTCGCCAATGGAATCCATCCATATCCAGGTAAGCCATGTTCACCAACGGAACCCATCCATAACCAGGTCGGACATTCCTCAGCTTCACTGCTCTTTTTAGTAAACGCAGATAAGCTGAGGAATGTCCAACAATGTGAACAATGAAAAAACAATGGCAGAACTACAAAAAAAAATCTGGATGGTATTTAAACAAAATATGTCCACAGTTTAAGGATAGGCAATAATATTTTGATTACAACAAAAGATTTGACTGCCTCGGGGGTAAGGGAGAATTTGTATTTAGTATTAAGTTGTGTTACCACTTTACCTCGGAAAGGATTTCATTTCTGTTCAGCCAGACTTGTAATTTACGCACCATAGTTATCAGTATGCCAGCCAATACATTCCAGGAGATGGGAAGGGGCAATTCTGTAGGAAAGTGTCACTTATAAAGACCTGCCAGGCAGTCAAAGGCAGGTCCTGGCAAGAATTGGCAAAGGCATTTCCCTGTCTGTTGTTCTTGAAATCAACCCGGCCAAGGGTTAGGAAGAGGAAGTGGTCACCTTGTGTACTTCATTAGGAGGGAGGTATAAAATGGACAGGACCTGCAACCTATGCTGCTTAGGTAGTTCACAGCTAATGGGGGTCCACTTTGGCCTTTTCACCTTGAGTACTAAAGGACCTTCTTGTAAGGCCTGGGCTACATCGTAATACTTTATGTTCCATTATTGCATTGAATGGAAGCTATTCTATAATCATAAGTGAAGTGGGGATTATTTCACAAGAAAAGAAGGTCGGCAGTAACCAATGGAAACCATCATTTACCCTTGAAATTAAATATGATTGGTTGCAGATGTATACTATACCCTACACATGGTCTCCGAGCTCTGCGCCTCCTTATTAAAGGTATCTCATTGTGTCAGGGAGGTCAGAGCTCCAGTGTCTTCCTTTCCCAGGCTCGGATGACCCAACTCAGCAGAAAATGCCCCTTGGAAATATATTTAAACTGTCAATTGCCGTGATCCGAAGATGTAGATCACCCCCCTTCCCCCCCTTCTGTACAAGATTTGTGAAATGATTTTTCATGTCTGCGCTCCCAGCGGAACACAGCTAACAAGTGTTCCTAAAGAGTCAAGATTTCAGAGTCACTAAATTACAATTAGACATGTGTAATTCAGCCCATTAGCAATTATATTCTTCATTATTCTTTTCTATTTTCTAACAGTCACTCGTATTCCATAAAGCATATGTGCCAAAAGAGAGAGAGCGGAAGAAAGACAGAAGAGGGAGATGAAAGAGAGATGAGGAGAGAAAGGAGAGTGAGAGAGATGGGGGAAAGAGGGGAGAGGGAGAAGGGAAGGAAGGGGAAGAGAGTGGAGGAGAAAGAAGGAAGCTGAGAGAAAGAGGAGAACAAGCAAAAGACGAGAGAGAGAGAGCAAAAGAAAGACAGAAGAGGGAGATAGGAGCAAGAGAGGTAAAAAGATGAGGATAGAGGGAGAGGAAAAGAGTAAGAAAAGTAGGTTGAGCAAAAGACTAAAGAGAGATATGGGAGCAAGAGGAGAGAGATGGGGAGAAAGGGGTGATAGGAGGCGGAATGAGAGGAAAAGAGATGAGGACAGAGAGGGGAAAGGAGAGATAATGAAGGGAGAGAGAAGAGGAGAGAGAGGAAGAAGAGAAGGTATGATGGGGAGATAGATGAGGAGAGAAGAGGGAGAGGAGAGAGAATAAGGGGGGGAATTTGAGTAAGAATGAGAGAGGGTGGAGAAGGTGAGGGTCTCAGGGGCAGAGAGAGGAAGACAGCAAGAGTGGGAGAGAGAGGGAGAATAAGGGAGATATGAAAAAGGGAAGAGAGGGAGAGGAGAGAGAGTAACAGGAGAGAGATCAAAGAGAAAGGAGAAAGTTACAGAGGTGATGCGAGATAGAAGAGGGGAGAAAATGGTGAGAGAGAAAGAAACAGAGAGAGAAAGTTAACAAGGGGATGAGAGAGGGAGGGAGAGAAGATGGGGAAGGAGAGAGAGATTGATAGAGGTGGAGAGAAGATAGAGTGGAAGAGAGGTTGAAAGAGATGTGAAGAGAGGATCGGGAGGGAGAGAGAGAGAGGTTGATAGAGATGAGGAGAGAAGATGAAGAGGGAGAGAGGTTGATAGAGATGAGAAGAGAAGATAAAGAGGGAGAGAGGAGGTTGATAGAGATGAGGAGAGAAGATGAAGAAGGAGAGAGGTTGATAGAAATGAGGAGAGAAGATGGAGAGGGAGGGAGGGTGATAGAGATGAGGAGAGAAGATAAAGAGGGAGAGAGGTTGATAGAGATGAGGAGAGAAGATGAAGAAGGAGAGAGGTTGATAGAAATGAGGAGAGAAGATGGAGAGGGAGAGAGGTTGATAGAGATGAGGAGAGAAGATGAAGAGGGAGAGAGGTTGATAAAGATGAGGAGAGAAGATGGAGAGGGAGAGAGGTTGATAGAGATGAGGAGAGAAGATGGAGAGGGAGAGAGGTTGATAGAGATGAGGAGAGAAGATGACGAGGGAGAGAGGTTGATAGAGATGAGGAGAGAAGAGGAAGAGGGAGAGAGGTTGATAGAGATGAGGAGAGAAGACGGAGAGAGGTGGATAGAGATGAGGAGAGAAGATGGAGAGGGAGAGAGGTTGATAGAGATGAGCAGGGAAGATGGAGAGGGAGAGAGGTTGATAGAGATGAGGAGAGAAGAGGGAGAGAGAGGTTGATAGAGATGAGGAGAGAAGATGGAGAGGGAGAGAGGTTGATAGAGATGAGGAGAGAAGAGGGAGAGAGAGGTTTATAGAGATGAGGAGAGAAGATGAAGAGAGAGAGGTTGATAGAGATGAGGAGAGAAGATGGAGAGGGAGAGGTTGTTAGAGATGAGGAGAGAAGATGGAGAGAGGGAGAGGTTGATAGAAAAGATGGAGAGGGAGAGGTTGATAGAGATGAGGAGAGAAGATGGAGAGGGAGAGAGGTTGATAGAGATGAGGAGAGAAGATGATGAGGGAGAGAGGTTGATAGAGATGAGGAGAGAAGAGGAAGAGGGAGAGAGGTTGATAGAGATGAGGAGAGAAGACGGAGAGAGAGGTTGATAGAGAGGAGGAGAGAAGATGGAGAGGGAGAGAGGTTGATAGAGATGAGGAGAGAAGACGGAGAGAGAGGTTGATAGAGAGGAGGAGGAGAGAAGATGGACAGGAAGAGAGGTTGATAGAGATGAGGAGAGAAGATGGAGAAGGAGAGAGGTTGATAGAGATGAGGAGAGAAGATGAAGAGAGAGAGGTTGATAGAGATGAGGAGAGAAGATGAAGAGAGAGAGGTTGATAGAGATGAGGAGAGAAGATGAAGAGAGAGAGGTTGATAGAGATGAGGAGAGAAGATGAAGAGAGAGAGGTTGATAGAGATGAGGAGAGAAGATGAAGAGAGAGAGGTTGATAGAGATGAGGAGAGAAGATGAAGAGAGAGAGGTTGATAGAGATGAGGAGAGAAGATGAAGAGAGAGAGGTTGATAGAGATGAGGAGAGAAGATGAAGAGAGAGAGGTTGATAGAGATGAGGAGAGAAGATGAAGAGAGAGAGGTTGATAGAGATGAGGAGAGAAGATGAAGAGAGAGAGGTTGATAGAGATGAGGAGAGAAGATGAAGAGAGAGAGGTTGATAGAGATGAGGAGAGAAGATGAAGAGAGAGAGGTTGATAGAGATGAGGAGAGAAGATGGAGAGGGAGAGGTTGTTAGAGATGAGGAGAGAAGATGGAGAGAGGGAGAGGTTGATAGAGATGAGGAGAGAAGATGGAGAAGGAGAGAGGTTGATAGAGATGAGGAGAGAAGATGGAGAGGTTGATAGAGATGAGGAGAGAAGATGGAGAGGGAGAGGTTGATAGAGATGAGGAGAGAAGATGAAGAGGGAGAGAGAGGTTGATAGAGATGAGGAGAGAAGATGAAGAGGGAGAGGTTGATAGAGATGAGGAGAGAAGATGGAGAGAGGGAGAGGTTGATAGAGAGGAGGAGAGAAGATGGAGAGAGGTTGATAGAAATGGGGAGAGAAGGAGGGGTTGGGGGACAGAAAGACAGAAACCTAGAAAAGATCTCATTTACCATCTTCATCTCAGAATATTACAGATTTTAATGAGCGGATTCTCCCAAACTCACTCTTGTGCAGTAATAAATGGAGGTGATTAAGCTGGGTCTTGGCAGCTATAATAAAAAGCCTTTGTTCTCCGAGTTGAGTTAGTTATCAAAATAAAATATCCATCAAATTTATCTGTGGTGCCATGTGTGGCAGAGCAGCTTTATGGAATGAGCATTTTGGAGTGAGAGTGGCCCACCCACACTACTTATGGTATCACTTTCAGGACCTAAAGGTTTCCGGCAAACATCAGAGAACATTGAAAGAACGTGCCTATGGTCTGCTCCACTGCCCCGACCAACATGGCTGACCCTGCTGATTGGCCAGGCTTGATTTACCATTCAGATAACTATTGTTTCCTCTTAGATTGGCTGGTTTCAGCCACACCACTGCCCCCACCCCAACCAACCACAGACCAATGCATTCAGACCAATGGGAGAGGGGCATTCTTTCTTACAGCTCAAAGAAGTCCTAAATCTACTGTACAATTTAAATTATTTCAACATTTTCCAAGTCAACTGCCTATAATCATTCTTTATACTGAATCCATGTCACCTCCTACACTCCAGCTGGAATTTCAAATGAGGCTGGCAATACTGGCACATGCATCTGCACTGAGAGAATGTGTAGTGAGAGACAAATTGATATTTCCTATTCTCGGGTCTCTTCGGGTGTTTCATATGCAGATGTTCAATCAGCCTCATGTCTCCTGTTTATAAAGGGGAACTGTAGTCATTTTATCATGGTTTAGATGGTTTAGCATGTTAAAGGATAGATCAGCTTATTGTAAATAATTTGTCATCGTTTTTAAAACCATTTTTTGCACATAGTCTGGTATATAGGTTCAGGGGGAAAGGGGGGGGGGGATCTTCCAGGGATAGGATTGCTGGAAGTAGTGGTTACTAAAGAAAACCGAGACCGGTAAAATTTT